CAGCCTGGGAGGTATGGGATGTTTTTAAATGTCATTATTTTAGAAATCTGTTTTTTTTTTTTTTTTGACAGCTTGCACTTGTTTAAATCTAAACACATCTAATTTAGTTAGTGGGGTTTGGATGAGGAAGCATTCACCCAGCCATATGTGCTGTACCCACACACACATACAAACGGCCTTTTTGGAAAACATCTGACATCAGAATTTATAAGAGCTTTTCTCCATCTTCCTCTCAGACTGGGTTTTGTGTGAAAAGCATAAAGTCACATTTTCCCCACTTTAGAGTTGGAGCTTGATATAATTGAGGTGGACTGGGAAAACTTACAGCCTTAAATGGAAAATAAGAGCCATAAAAATAATAACAGTCCCAGTTGTGTGTGAGGTTAAGCTTTGTTTTATACAGCAGGCTTTTTGGACTTTTTCCTTTTGTTTTTTGTTTTTTTCAAGCAGGCCTACATGCAAAACTTTTCACTTTTTTACTCTGTCATTTAAGTTGAATGTTTTTTTGAGTTTTCATTTCCCCATCAAGTTAACATTTTTTTACCTTCACATTTTTATCTACTATCAATATGAAACCAGCTCCACCGTTGGTTATAACAAATAATGTGTAGTTTTCAGTCTCCGTCAGAGTCAGATCTTCCGAAGAGATTCAAAATTTTAAGTGTCAAGAGAGAAAGGAAGAGGGTGCACATAACGAAAGCAAGGGATGAGGACAGCGTAAAGGTGCAGGGCGGATTAATCTGTCCGCTGTCGACAAAAAGAGTGGGAGGATGAGTGCTAAGAAACAAAGGCAGATAGTTGTTGGAAAGATGGCATCTGAAGAACAGAATTGATTAATAAGCCGAACAGTTGAAGGATTTTTAAAACCACTTTGACTGATTGAAATATGAATGGAAAAGACTTTAAACATGTCAAGAATAAAGTAGTAGAATGTGGGCATTTTGTTTGCCTTTATGAGCAAACGATTTAACATTTCTCTGAGGGCTGTTTCTAACTTTGTGTGGCAATATTCAGCGTCTTATGCAGGCATGTCCTTGGTAACTAATAGAAACAAAGTGACGAGGGAAGGAGTCAGTCGAGGGTACGGACTGTATTTTGTGACTCACAGACAGTCAGCAAACTATTGGGAATCGTTGGATATTTTTTTATTTTTGCAATTTTCCGAACCCATCAGGGTTCTTAGGAATATGCCTAAAATAACAAGCTTGAACCACCTACCACCTATGATGTGTGTGTGTGTGTGTGTGTGTGTGTGGTTTAATTTTTTTCTTCCCCAGAGCCGGAAACTTTAAAGTGCATTGTTGCCTGCTCCTCCTAAAAACCCCTGTCTTTCGCTTCTCTGCTGATTCGTTTTCATTATCTGTGATTCGTTTTAAGCTTTCAATAACACCTGCCGTTTGTATCAATGTTGATAATTTAGATGAATTTGGGAAAATGCAGTCCTCAAAAGGCTGGCTATTATCATGCGGGACACACTGTACCCGTTCAAGGTCAGATCAAGTATTTGCACTCTGCCCTACAGAGATCTGCCTCTTGGATTTAGTCGTGCTGGCTTTATTTGCAGTTGTATATCATATAATTTATAAGGCTAGGACAAATAACAATTAAATGTTTGATGATTTTTTTATTTATTTTATTTAAGTATTTTTTTTTCACCTTGATAAAGTTTAGCTGTTTAGGAAAGTGTGACTCCTTCACATAAGACCAGAAATAACACCACATGAGACCAAATCCTCACATTTAGTTCTCTAAAACTTTGGTTTCAGTATATTTAATATTGACCAAATCTACTGAGAATTATAGAAACCATGTGCAACAAATTAAAGGGACTTCCTCACTCTTCTGTCTCAGAAGTTGGGTCTGCTCACTGTCATTAGATTGAAGAGAAAAAAACATTCAAAAACACTTTTTCTGTTAACGGATATCTGTAAATATTTGCTATACAGGCTTGATGTTATTGTCGGAGGAGCAGAGGTTTAGTTTGCCTTCAAAGGAAGAGCTCTTTGCACCACTTTGTCTCAGAGATGCGGTATAATATGGTTTAACTCTCATATTGCACCTACCTGAATGTTTGATTGGGGTGCAAAATGACTCAGAATCACAATATGATTTCTGTTCTTAGTTAGTTTTTATAACTTTGACATTGTTTGAGCTGATTGCAGTTTATTTTTGATCTGCTTTTGATTGCGTCTGCAGATTTTCCTTCTTTTAATCTACTTAGACTGATGTTTGGGTCCTAACCCTCAATGATATTTCACCCGAAGCACTTGGTTTAACCTCTGACACACTACTCTCCATCTACCTGTTGGGTCCCCCTTGCTCCGAGGAAGGGAAGGAGATGGTGTTTATCGGAAAGTGTTCGGAAAATGGGCCGTTGGGTTTTGGAGAGAGGGGGCGCGTAGGCGACGATCGTTTAGGGGGGAGGGGTATCTCTAGATCTGTCTTCGTCAGCGTGCACCCTCTTTTCATACAACAGGAAGGAGAGTGAGTGACAGAATGTTTGAGAGCCGTAGACATCCCCAAGGACGGGAGCCTAACCCCGACCTTTGACAACCAGATCAGACCTTCAACTGGCACATTTGAAGGGGAGAGAAAGATAGGAACGAAGAGGTGGCTTTACAAGGTAGCTAAAAGACGAGCAAAGAGCGAGGAGGGAAAAAATGGATACCACGAGACAGAGGCTGCCTCGTCTCCAAGGGACTGTGCCTATAAAGATGGGCAAGGTAGGACTGATGTTTAAAACCTTACGGGTGGGACGGCTCTACTTCTTTGAAAAGAAAGATATGACATATCCCTAGGGGTGGGATAGGTTGAAACTTAAAAGAATATTTTAAGTGCATATATTTAATTGTTCTTATAATTGTAAGGGTGGAGTGCTTACGTATCTTATTTTTTTTTGTCTTAAACAGTCTGTTGTAAAGTTCGTCACCAGTTAAGACGAACAATAGTGGGTGGGGGGAGCCACCGACTTACATGGAAGCCTATGCGAACATGTTTTTGTGTGTGTGTGTGTGTGTTTTTAATAAGGTGTGTTTTGGAGCAGGTTATTCAGGTGGGTGTGCTGTTGTTGTGTAGAGCCCTCTGGGTATGTTGCAAATGCTGTTAATGGACAGGGGGGGGCTGCCAGTTGCTATGGAAGGGAGGCGAGGAGCAGAAGGGTGGTGATGGTGGCAGGGGGGGAGTTAAGTTGTTTGTGGAAAATCTGGTCTGCTCAGGTGCGTGAGAGATGCACTGTCGGCCAGGTACAATACGGACGGGGCGAAGTGCGTGCTTAGAGATCCAAAGCAGGGAGTAGTTGGGTCTCATTACTGGCAGGACTCTTCAAAAGAAAAAAAAACTTATTGTCCTTGCTTGGCTTTCACTTCTGGAGTTTGTCGACAGCCCATCGCTCATGCCACTTGTTGAAGAACCGGCTTTTGAAAGGTCTTCGTTTGATTAAAAAATGTCAGATAGGGCCCTATCGCACTCATGAACATCTGAGTGGCGGACATTTATTTGAGGCCTCCTGTTGCTGTTTTCCTTCCTCATTCTTTCACTGGTACTCCCCCTTTCACCCACTCTACGCTGTCACTTCCTCCCTCACCCCAGCTTGCTTTTCTTCTCTTACTTCTCTAATAGCCCTTTGTAAGTTCTTGTCCAGGTATTTTAATCAGTTGCCTAATGCTATAAAGGTTTCACACACGAATTAACCTACTGCCCCTTGGCTACTGCACCCATAGGGCATTGCACAACCCTCTGTCCTTTCCTCATCACCACCAGTCATCTGGCCCTGCATCACCCTCTGTCTAGAGATTAGTTCTACTTTTCTTCCTCTCCTCCTTGAAAATTTTGCCTCAGCATAAAGTCCATTGTCTCTATTCTTCTTTCTATTACCAGCCCCCACCCGATGAGTTGAAATCGCCTCCTCCTGATTTAGTAATCTGGATGGAAAATACAGGATGATCATGGGGGGTGAGTGGTTGTTAAGCCCTGTTTAAATTGTCCCTCACGTGAAGGAGGACTCCTCATGTCAGTCACGCTACCCAAGGTTTACTTTTAGAACGGTTAAGCAGAGGACTGGGTAATCTCTGTTTCTTAGAAACTGCAAGGACATAATAATGATATTGGAGTGCTTTGCGGAAGTATTTGGTCTCCTTGAAAATGTTCAAATTTTGTCACATTACATCCCCCTCGAACTTAATCTGACATATTTTGAGGGGATTTTAGGGGAAAATCCAACATATAATGATGCAGAGCTTTGAGGACGACGGAAACCAAAACATGGTTGTTAAAACATTTTAATAATTAGTTATTTTTCAGGAGAAAGCATCTGAGAGCATATATTTTGGCTTGGGACATATTCTTAATGCTATTTAGGTGTGACTTTGACTGGGACGTTGAATACTCTTTGGTCTAAACATTTCTGTTATATATCCTATTTAAATTTAATTTAGCTGAGGATTACTTGATTCTTTCTAAAGCTGAAGTTTATATTGTTGTAACTCATGTTCTAGAGGGTTTTTCAATGAGTTGTCTGTGATCATGACTGGAGGCAGGAAAGATCTCCTGTAGTGGTCTGTCTTACCGTATGTCGGATCTGGAGAAGCCTCTGACTGAACAAAGTGTTTTTTATTATTGTCATAGATAACAAACAAATAATAGTCCTAGAGGTAGGGATAATGTGCACTGCACGTCTACAAGTAAATGGTATGTTAAACCAAGAATATGTCATTTTAGAGCTGAAGAAATTTATCTGATTAATTGTGATAATTGGAAATTGAAATAACAGTTAACTAATTTAGTTATTGATTAATTGTTAGTTGCGGTATATAGACTCTAACACAAGCCATTAGCTGAGAGAGGAAACCCATTCAGGAAAGGGATAAAGTGAAAATTAATTAAAAATTTGGCATTTTAGATAGAAAAGCAGTTGAATGAATTGGCAAAGAAATAGTTTGTTGCAGCCCTATGGAAGGTCTTCAGTGGTTTCACAAACTTAATGTTCCCCTTCTGTGCTGTAGGTGGCGATGTCTCCAGGAGAGGACGGCCTGATTGGGATCCCCTTCCCGGAGCACAGCAACGAGCTCTTGTCCCACCTCAATGACCAAAGGAGGACAGGACTCCTGTGTGACCTCACCCTGACCTCCCGCGGGGCTCGCTACCCAACACACCGCTCCGTCATGGCAGCCGTCAGCCTCTACTTCCGTCGGCTGTTTGGAGCGGAGGAAGGGGGTGGTGAGGGCGGTGGGGGATTCAGCGTTTGCCAGCTGGACTGTGTTGCCCCTGATGCCTTGGATGCCCTGCTGGAATTTGCTTACACCGCCACACTTACCATTCCCAGCTCCGGGATGAGAGATGTGCTGCGAGGTGCTCAGCTGCTGGGTATCCAGTGCGTGGCTGATGCCTGCAGAGACATCCTTGGAGAGACGGGGGAGGCAGAGGGGGAAACTGCGGGGGAGCAGAGACCCCAACAGATGACTATCGAGAGGACGATAGAGACAACAAACGTTGTAGAGAAAATATCCAGAAGAAAAAATGAGAGAAAGAAAGTGAGAAAAGTTGGCTTACGTCCCAACAACTTCTCACCTCTGTACCCACTGGCCGCCTCTCCTGCCTCCCACCCTTCACCTCCCTCTGATAGCTTTCGTTCCCTGCCCCCTACCCAGCCTCCCAGTCCTGAATCAGAGGAAATCCATCCCAAACTTGGGCAAAATGGGGATCTGAGAGCCATCAGAGAGCCTGGGAGAGGAAACACACTAAATGGAGGGCTCCTTCACTGGGCACAAGAGCGACCTCTCACCGCACACCAGCCTCCCATCCAGAGCGACAAGCTCTCTGAAGATGATGACATGGAGGCGTTAGGTGACGATATCGTGGTGATGGGATCCAGCTCCATACCTACCTCTGTAGCAGATCGGGGTGCAGCCACATCAGTAGCAGGAGGGGGTAGGAAGAGGAAGTCTCAGACCCCTCAGCAGTGTCCAGTATGTCAGAAGATTATTCACGGGGCGGGAAAGCTGCCCCGCCACATGAGGACACACACCGGAGAGAAACCCTTCCAGTGCTCTGCCTGTGGAGTTCGCTTCACCCGGTATAAAAAGTTCAAAAAAGGTTTTATGTCATTTTATCTTGTCCGTATACCGTCTCATTTTTAATTTCCTTTTATTTAGCAATGATAAGTTGAAGATCCACATGCGGAAGCACACAGGAGAGCGCCCCTACACCTGTTCCCACTGCCCTGCACGGTTCCTCCATTCATACGACCTCAAAAACCACCTCTCCCTCCACAGCGGGGCGCGACCTTTCGAGTGCCCACTCTGCCACAAGGCTTTCGCCCGAGAGGACCATCTCCAGCGCCACCGCAAGGGCCACAGCTGCCTGGAGCTGCGCACTCGTCGGCCCAAGCGGGTCCCCGAGCTGGCAGAGGACGCAGGTGAGAAAGACAGCATGGGAGATCATCCCAGCCCTCTGTCTCTACAGGCCCACCACACCATGTTTCATCCCCACTCAGTGTTGGAAGGTGGATCTGCCAGTCGCCCTTCGCTGATATTCCCAGGTGGCATCGACAGGGAGCGGTCGCTGGCTCTTCAGACTCTGGCCCAACTCAACTCCCAGGGCCTGGCCAACTACCCTGAGCTCCTTCTCAGAGGGCTTGAAATGCGAGGCAGTAGAGAGATGGAGAGAGAAGGTCCTGGAGGAACGCGTTCGCCGGCTCTTCAGCGTGATAGATGGGCCGATGAAGTAGAAGACGAAGAAGCAGAAGAGGGGGAATAGTTCAGACTGTTATGTGGTAAAGCATCCACAGTAAAAAAATCAAAATAATAATCTCAGGTGGCTGGACTAATGACCTGCTTCTCCCATACAGAGAGCACTTAAAAGACCTTACAAAAAAAAAAAAAAAAAGGAAAGACGGGTTTTCTGAGATATTCTAAATGTGGGGCTCTGTTTTTGGATTTTCTTTTTTGGCATACTCGTCTAGTAATGTTTGCTGTTTAAGTATTTTAATATCAAGTTGTCTCTTCAGTTTTTTTTTTTCCTTGCTGGTGTTTGTTAAATTTATGGTCACCAGGATGCTTTTCACTATGCAAACTAAAATCCAGGGCTTCAGAACAGAGAAATACCTAAAGATTTATTTTTGCTGATTCAGATGCAGTTTGAAATCCATATCGCCTACAATATCACAGTAAGGTTTGTGTGCCCGCTGTCCTCTGGTGACTATCGGTGAAAATGCAGTGAAATATAATCAAGCTCATTCCTTGGATTAAAAGCAATAATCTTGTTTTTGTTAGTGGTATAATCTTTGCTTTATTTTGGTGCTTAAACCAAAGATTTGCTTTTTTTTTCTAGTGTAGGAGAAGACGAGAGAGGTTGAACTGTAGCCAATGTTGGGTTTGAAGAGAAGAGTCTTCCCAACTCTTTTGAAAAGCCATGAGAAAGACTCTACTTGCAATATTGGAGTGTTTCAGAGCCAAGGGGCTCTGGGCTAAATGCCTGACCAAAAAGACAAAGTCTGGATTTGTGGTTTTAATGCTGGTAAAAGACACATCTTTTATCAGTCCTGCGATGCTCTCTCATTTACATTCTTTAAAAAAAAAAAGTGTGGCAAAATGTAGGGATTACTGAGATAATATACACCCTTCTTGTGTATTTATTTATTTATTTCTATTTATTATGAACATCTTAAGACCAAATCCAGACCCAAACCCAGTCTTTGTGAAATCCTACAAAACCCTGCACTGATGATTTTTGCTCAACAACCCCATACACCCAAACGCCTTGTTTTTTAAAAAGGCTGATTGTCTTCTTTCAAGCCATTCTTCCTCAAATGCATTCTTTGCACATTTAACCCACCAGGTTCTGCAGTAATACAGGCACATTCCACCCTTCAGAGGGTAACACAGAAGGACTAGAGCAGAGGCATCAGGGAGTGTGGGGAGGGGGGGTGGGGTAATAAGAAACTCCTAAAGCTGGAACTCAGTGTGGACAATACGTATCTCACACTATTACATAGCAGTTCTTATAGTTTGGCTGTGACTAAAAGGGGCCATTAGGTTTTTTTTTTTTGTTGAGTTTATTCATTTCTGACCAAAATCTACATGCTTTCCATGGCTGTTTAGCTGCAGGTCACGTTTGCTTGCTGGGGAGAGGGTTGATTTTCTTCTCATTCACATCGAAGTCAATGTAGCATATGTGCTGTTTTGGCCTGTCTTTGCTGTTTTGGAACTCTCCGTTTGTTTCCATTTTATTTGCACTATGAGATTGGAGAGCTTCAAGCTTTTCTTGTTCAACATTCAACATTTTGCCCTTTAACTATCATTACTGATTAAGTAGTCTATACTTTTGTAAAACCCTCATCCATACTTCATTGCATTACTAGAGTTATAGTAAAAAAAAATTGTATATATATATATATATATATATATATATATATATATATATATATATATATATATATATATATATATATGGCATAGATGTATATCGGGATGAAGTTGCCTTAGGGTTTTTATGTGTTGCAACTATTCTCAGGAAATCTTGAGCAATGCACTAAGTGATTATACAAAATGTTAAATGGGAAGCAAGCGGTGCTGTTGGGTTATTGATACGCTTCATGCATGGTGGGATACCAGTAGTTTGATATATTATATTTTCTAGATTTTATAATGAAGGAGATGATAGTCAGATAATAGTAATGAAAGTAATCTACTGGCCTTGCTGGAACCTGTCCTACTGGAATGGCAGTATGACAGTTGGTCCTGTGCATGAAGGGTGTTGGTGCTCCCTTTTAAAAGCTTTGTGAATGAATGACGGTTAAACTGATGTCAGCTGTGAAGCTTGTGTCGATTTTTTGTTTTTGTTTGTTTGTTTGCTTTTTTTCCTGGCTTCGGTGAGGGGACTTTGAGGGGTATGGTCTGAATAGAGACCCCACTATCAGGGATACTTTTTGTTGTCTTTCAGTTTGTAGAGAACTTCTTCTCACAGATATAAATTAAATTTTCCATGATTTGTTTCAGATGATGTAAAGAAAATAAATATATATAAGCTTGCCTTTTTTGTGTGCTGCTTTGTTGTTTTTAAACACAACTCTCCAGGGTTTCAGTAATTCCTCAAAACTCTCATAAAAGTTAAGAATGCGCCCCCTGGTGGACTAATTCCACAACTGTTTAACACCATTTCATTACTTTTGACATGGGTCTTTACATATTTCATTAGTCTATTACTTTGAAATAATAAATCAACCCATTTTTGTTTCTCATAACCAACAAGAAATCCCAGAGGAGAAAACATTAAAAGCACATTGATTATTTTAACAGATACGTTTTTCATTTATACAGCTAAAGCTCAATGCAGGCACTTTGATTTAAAATGTATTAAAATATAATGCTTCCATGATGCCTAACAGTGCATCTGACACTATGGTATCCATCACTAACTACAAGAGGTCACCACATATTTATTTGGGATGTGTCAAAAATCTGAATGAATGTCAGAGTAATTACCCAATAATAATGATACAGAGTTGTGTTATTTGCAAAGAAGACGTTTTATTAACCTCAGAATACCGGATGGTTGAAACTCAAGGAAAAACCAATAGCATCGCGTTTAATATGATAATGATCTGGCAACAACCTCACTGCCAGATGTTAATTTGATCCTTTATTATGAAACTTTAGACAGATTATGGGACATTGTAACATTTAATGATGTATCTGAGCACTAAGTTGAATATAACTGATTCCAATTAAGCGCACTATTCAAAAAGCAAGTAAGTGGTGCATGAACCAGAACCTTCGCTTAAAAAATATGACATGGTGTTCAACTAAATCTCTTATATTTCCCCTTGTTTAGACAATAGGTTTATACTGTATGCCATAGTTATTAACAACCTGTTAATCTTAACTGTGTAAAGGTTAGTGGGAACACCACTAGCTACATCTTTCTAGTGGTCGCAAAAGGATTAAGCAACGTAACCTGGCATGAACAGGAATAAAGAACATTGTAAAGTTTGTATAATGCTGCATAGTGAAAACCCAGCTAATTGCTCAGATTATTTTTTCAAAATGTGAAGTTAGTATTAGCGAGGTGTTCGGGTAAAACTGAGCAGAACTATCGGCTAAACCAAGAACTGAAGCTGGTAAAACAGCCCATCTGAGTGATGGGGATCTGCTTCAGCATCTCTTTCTCTCACTGTGAACATCTATGCAAAAATATCGGATACTAAATAGAAAAAGATTCTAGATTCTATCAACAAAATAGAATTCACAAATTATATTAGACTTTCACAAGCAGTGCACATATAAATAGGCTGCCCCAACATTTTTAGATTGTAAACCATGATGCATTACACATGATTTTATCAGGTGATCTTAAATGGCCTTTGCACAACACTCCAAACTAATACCTGGAATTGGATCAGGTCATTCTTAATCTGAACCAAATTCTGTCAACTGGAGACAGTTTTAGGATCTGTTTCTTGCCGTTACGTGTGTTCAGTAGTTCCTAGTTAAGCATTGACAAATAATACTGTAGCCACCATAGTAAACTCGTCCATCAAGAAATTATATGCTGCCATTGACCAAAGGATGGCAATGCAGTCAAAATGTAGATATCTTTGATATAGATATTTGTATTGGATCCAATTTCTGTCTCGTTCTTATTTTTACATCAACCTGAAAACTTCAGCTATAAGGTGAAATGTGGTGATGGCAGCAGGGTAGAGGAACGCTCATTTAGGTGAATACTGGGAGGCTGATAAATTAATTAAATGATGAAGCTAAATATGCAGCCCCATCCTGAAAAAAAAAAAAAAAGTTGTTACAGAATGAAAAAGACTTGAAATTGAGGCAGAGGTTCCTTTTCCAACTAACAGTGACCATAAACATACAGCCAGAGCTACTATGGTTTAGACAACAGTATGAATCCTAAATTTTCCTTTATTGAACTACTTTAGTTGTTATCACGTATAATCCTAGAAAAATTCATTCATGTTTCCATTTGTAAAGTGTAAAAATGTGAAAAAAAGAGAATTAATGTACATTTGATTAAATATGCTGCTGTACTTTGAATAAGGAGTAAAAAAAAAACTAAAAACTGTCATTTTTATTAAAAGTTAGACATTATTTTCTCCAAAATATAATTTAAACAATATTTTAAGGGCTTTTCAGCCCTGTTTAATTTTCCACATTGATGCAGTGCCTCATAATAAACCAGTTAAAAAGCCATTAGTTACAATTATAGGTGTGATGAAACAAAGAAACTGAAATACTGTATGTTTGAAGGGCTGGCTCTGCCTGTTAGAACAGGATCTGACGTAGAAGGTTCCATAATCTTCTTACTTTAATTAATCTGGTACAGGAGGCCTGAAGGTCCCTTCTTACAACAGCAGACAGTTTCAAACGACAATTTTGGTGCACAGGGAGAGATCTGAGAACCTGAGAGAAGTAGCCCCGTGGAGTTATCTGAAGGTGGCTGTCTTCTCCTGCAGGATGCTATTGGTCCCTTCACGGATGTTGCAGGGCGCTGCGGTGCGGCAGGCCTCTCCACGGCTCACATACAGCTCAGCAGCACAGGTGCAGGTAGGTAAGCACTCACTGAGGGCAGAGGAGCACCAAAACACCTTAGACCTGGGCTGACCTTTAGTCTTGACTTAGAGAAGTCTTGAAGAATAAAATTCTAGAACAATGTTCACGATAATTACAAAAGCAAACCACAGCAATTACTGATAAAACTGCTGCAAAGGCAAGTGAGAACATGATCAGGTTAGATCTAGGGGGTTAATTTAACAAATATGTTTTCCCACTCATGTTTTAGTTTAAAAACCAATATTTGCAAACACTTAACATGTTTTATATAATGAAAACATGTGGATGTTGCTAAATAAAGAAAAAAGACACAACCAAACAAAATACATTTAAAAAGTCAATATTGTCTTTATTTTTTTAAAAGAGAAATCAGCCTTAGGTAAGTTTATTTTCACCTTTAAAATTATAAGCAAGAGGGAAAAAAAAGAATATCCAAAATATATTTAATAAAACCTGGTTGATAGCATACAATGCAAGAGTATGACAGAACAATAGACTAAGTATTTCAGAAGTGATTAATCCATATGATATAGTTTTGCTTATGGGAAAAGAGCAGTAATGTGTTCATGCATATTGCATAAGTTATATATATATATATATATATATATATATATATATATATATATATATATATATATATATATATATATATATATATATATATACAGGTGCTGGTCATAAAATTAGAATATCATGAAAAAGTAGATTGATTTCAGTAATTCCATTTAAAAAGTGAAACTTGTATATTATATTCATACATTACATACAAACTCATATATTTCAGATGTTTATTTTGTTTAATTTTGATGATTACAAATGACAACAAATGAAAATCTCAAATTCATCATATCAGAAAATTAGAATATTGTGAAAAGGTTCAAAATTGATGGCCCCTGGTGCCACACTCTAATCAGCTAATTAACTCAAACCACCTGCAAAAGCCTTTAAATGGTCTTTCAGTCTAGTTCTATAGGCTACACAATCATGGGGAAGACTGCTGACTTGACAGTTGTCCAAAAGACGACCATCGACACCTTGCACAAGGAGGGCAAGACACAAAAGGTCATCGCTAAAGAGGCTGGCTGTTCACAGAGCTCAGTGTCCAAGCACATTAATAGAGAGGCGAAGGGAAGGAAAAGATGTGGTCGAAAAAAGTGTACAAGCAAGAGAGATAACCGCACCCTGGAGAGGATTGTGAAACAAAACCCATTCAAAAATGTGGGGGAGATTCACAAAGAGTGGACTGCAGCTGGAGTGAGTGCTTCAAGAACCACCACACACAGACGTATGAAAGACATGGGTTTCTGCTGTCGCATTCCTTGTGTCAAGCCACTCTTGAACCACAGACAGCGTCAGAAGCGTCTTGCCTGGGCTAAAGAGAAACAGGACTGGACTGCTGGTGAGTGGTCCAAAGTCATGTTCTCTGATGAAAGTAAATTTTGCATTTCCTTTGGAAATCAAGGTCCCAGAGTCTGGAGGAAAAGAAGAGAGGCACTTCATCCACGTTGCTTGAAGTCCAGTGTAAAGTTTCCACAGTCAGTGATGGTTTGGGGTGCCATGTCATCTGCTGGTGTTGGTCCATTGTGTTTTCTGAGGTCCAGGGTCAACGCAGCCACATACCAGGAAGTTTTAGAGCACTTCATGCTTCCTGCAGCTGACCAACTTTTTGGAGATGCAGATTTCATTTTCCAACAGGACTTGGCACCTGCACACAGTGCCAAAGCTACCAGTACCTGGTTGAAGGACCATGGTATCCCTGTTCTTAATTGGCCAGCAAACTCTCCTGACCTTAACCCCATAGAAAATCTATGGGGTATTGTGAAGAAGAAGATGCAATACACCAGACCCAACAATTCAGAAGAGCTAAAAGCCACTATTAGAGCAACCTGGGCTATCATAACGCCTGAGCAGTGCCACAGACTGATCGACTCCATGCCACGCCGCATTGCTGCAGTAATACAGGCCAAAGGAGGCCCAACTAAATACTGAGTGCTGTACATGCTCATACTTTTCATGTTCATACTTTTCAGTTGGCCAACATTTCTATAAATCCTTTGTTTTTATTGGTCTTCGGTAATATTCTAATTTTCTGATATGATGAATTTGAGATTTTCATTTGTTGTCATTTGTAATCATCAAAATTAAACAAAATAAACATCTGAAATATATGAGTTTGTATGTAATGTATGAATATAATATACAAGTTTCACTTTTTAAATGGAATTACTGAAATCAATCTACTTTTTCATGATATTCTAATTTTATGACCAGCACCTGTATGTATATGGATCAGGCTCACTATGAGACAAAAACTGCTGCAAACCATTTAGGCTTTGAGAAGACAATGAGGAAGCAGAAACCACTCAAAACATCCGATTCTGGGTGAAAAACAAAGCACCTAGTTTATCCCTGTTAATATCTAGAGTTCAGATGTTTTTCTTAGTACCCAAAAATTGTACTTAAGTGAGAATAGCAGTACTTCAACATATTTTTACTCAAGTAAAAGTAAGAAGTACCTATTAAAGAAGTGGCTCAAGAGTAAAAAAGTATTCTATTAAACGGCAACTCTAGTACTTAGTAACTGATCTACTTATCACTCACTATCATAACACCTGCTTTGATACACAAAATATTAAAATTATATACAAATTGATGTTTAAAATAATGAAATAAATAATTTTATGTGGAACTTTTAAGAATACATAATTTGATTAAAAAAAACGTACAAAAATCAATAGCTACAGTGTGTTAGAGTAGGATAAATTACAGTAAACTGTTTCATTTTAACTGGACCTCCAAATGAGAAAATAATGGCAAAATAACATTAAACCCATGAAAAACCTTTGAATCCTAAGAAAGAAGGAGATGTGTGTCTTTCTGGTTGATTTTTGTTCAAAACAAGCGTATTTTCACCAAGTGAAGTTACTCAGAATGGGTGGAGTAGCCAGAAACCTTATTCAAATAAGAGTAATGGCACTTTATCATGTTTTTACTGGTTGAAAGTTTTCACTTATTTGTTGCACTTTTCTTTGCTTGCACTTTGAGGAGTAAAGCCAGGTCCTCAATGGGACTGGGTCTGGAAAACATCCTGGCAAAGGGCCTAAACTGTTAATGTTATGTTTCCCGGATCACACTGTTTTCCAATATCTTGGGGAAATAATTACCACGCTGCTTATGTTTTATTTGGCAAAATTATTCTTCAGCTCTTAGAGCAAATTGGATACTAATACAATATCAGAAGACTTAGTGGATGTTTTGATACCATTTTGTGTTCATGGAGGTATTTTAGTTTAAATTGTGAGTCAACCTACTCAATTTAGGATTATTAGGAAGCTTCATGTACCATGACATGAGTTGCGGTACTGATTGTCTTTTTTTAAGATGTCCCAACAGTCTGAGAGAATAATTTTACCCATCCTCTGCAGTCGTCTATTTAGTCTATCCCAGAGGTGGTTCTTTCAAAGAAGAAAATCTTTCTTGAGGCTGTAAATGTCTATAACTTTAAAGCCTCTAAAACTGCACCTCTTTTAAATAATCCATTTTACTCTTCTTAAATATAAAGGTCTTATATATCAACATTGCAGTCCATAATAATAAGTATTCTTGGCCAACACCATTTCCTGCAGACAAAGGATTTATCAAATTTTTTACATACATATATACATATTTTTAGGCTCTAGTGTCTTTTTTAAGTACGCAGACAGGAAATACATTAGAGAGAGGGGAGAAAACATGCAGAAAAGATCAAAAGGCTGGGGCTCAAACTTTTATGATTGCATCGAGGACCAAAGCCTCTGCAGTTGAGTCCAATGCATTTTTACATATATTTATTTTAGCTTAAACTGTCCTAGTTAATTTTCCCCTCTTTTTACAGATGAAACCCCAAAAGACAAAGTTTGGTCCACTTAGTGACGAGGACCGGATCTTTACTAACCTTTATGGGCGACATGATTGGAGGTGAGCAATCATTAATGCTAATTGATCCTAATTCTAAAGAACTACCACTCAGTAGGACTATGTTGATTTCTCTTAGCTTTTTCCTATTAGACTCAAAGGAGCGCTGAAAAGAGGAGACTGGTATAAGACCAAAGAGATAGTCCTGAAAGGGCCGGACTGGATTCTGAATGAGGTGAAGACCTCAGGCCTTCGAGGCAGAGGGGGTGCAGGATTCCCTACTGGTATGAAATGGAGTTTCATGAACAAACCTAGTGATGGCAGGTAAGAATAAAAAGGTTATATTTAACCAAATGGACCCTCATTAAGTTGTTCAATAATATCCGTATGAACTCAGGAACCACAATGTTGGTATTATTGGACCTCAGTGCAGCATTTAATAATGTTGATCACTTGATTTTATTAGAGTGTCTGGAAAACTGGTCAGCCATTCTGGTAATGCACTGAACTGGTTTAAATCCAACCAGAAGCATAAGCACTTTTTTGTGTCAGTAGGTAACTTTAAATCAGAAACCAGAAAAATCCCGTGCGGAGTTCCTCAAGGTTGCATTGGAAAAAATCAAAATCTAGACGAGTCATTTTTTCTTAAAATAAAATAAGTGCATTTGCTCTTGGATTAAGGTAGTAAAAGAGACATCTAATTATCTTATTTATCAGATTAAAAATACTCATTCCGTTGGCAAACTATCTCATTTACCTACTCAAATTAAGGGGAAATACACTTAATTTAAGACATTTTTACTTATTTCTAGATCGTTTTTCCAGTGTTTGGTCTGGGTTCCCTCGTATTCAACATTTACATGCTCCCCTTAGCTCAGATTAGGGCAAAGAGCAACCTCAGCTACGACTACTATGCAGATGGCACATAGCAATGTCACCAGGTGACTATGAACCCATCAGAGCATTGGCTAGAAGCTTAGAAATTATCAATATGTAGATGCACCATAATTTTCTACAACTGAATAAATGCAAAACTGAGGTAGTAATCTTTGGACCAAAGGAACAGAGATCCAGCTAAAAACCACTGATTATGGCCAAGATTTTGGTGCCATGATGGACTCAGACCTGAACCATCAGAGGCACATAAAGGCAGTTACTAAGTCAGCCTTTATCATCTGAAGAACATTTCCAGGATTAAAGTACTAGTGTTGAAGAAGGATCTAGAAAAACTCATTTGTGCAATAATCTTTAGTAGAATTGATCACTGAAACAGTCTCTTCATAGGTTTGCATAAAAGTCCATCAGACAGCTGCAGCTGATCCAAAACTCTGCTGCCCATGTTCTCACTAGAACTAAGAAAGTAGAGCTAAACAGTCTGGTGTTGAAGTTCTTCCACTGGCTCCCTGTAGACTTTAAAATCCTCCTTTTAGTCTATAAATCACTGAATAGATCACCACCTACACATGCAAGATTTGTTGTCAGTGTATCAGCATCTCAAACCACTCAGGTACACCAACTAGAACCAAACATGGAGAAGCAGCATTTAGTTCCTATGCTCCACTGATATGGAACAAACTCCCAGAAGACTGTAAAAGTGATAAAAGTCTGAGTTCTTTTAAGTCAAAGTTAAAAATCCATTTGTTTAGAACTGCATTTGATCGTTAAACTGCTGAGGTATCATAAATTTAAGGTCGTGGTCCAACTGTTTTGTTTTACTACCTTTTACCATGTTTTTATCTGTGAAGATTCTCAGTCATCCAGGTCATGGTCAAGCTTGAAAAGGTTAGATTAGGCAACTGGATATCAAGCTTTCTAGAAAACTTCACGCCCAGTTGTTTGGAAGTTTTCAAGCTTGATCATGTTTTTATCTTAATTTGCTTTTACTCTGCTTTTATTTTCCTTCCATTTTAATGTCTAATTTATGTAAATAACTTGTAATGAATTGTGCTATAAAAATAAACTTTGCTAACCTTAACGTCCAAACAAGGATTCAAAAGCATTTCATTTTTCCCTCTCTCCAGGCCCAAATATCTGGTTGTGAATGCAGACGAGGGGGAACCCGGGACGTGTAAAGACCGAGAGATCCTGCGTCACGACCCGCATAAGCTGATCGAGGGTTGCCTAGTAGCTGGAAGAGCCATGGAGGCTCGAGCTGCATACATCTATATCAGAGGAGAGTTTTACAATGAATCATCAAATCTACAGGTAGAAACACCCCAGACATGATTAGAATAAAGATTCCCATTTTGGAATGCTTGTCATACCCAAATTAATAAAGAAGAAAGCTGAGGGAAAGAGACAATCAAATGCAGTAAGCAATTTGTCAAAACTGAGTAGGGTGTAAGAAATGTCCCATTTGGTCAAGAACTAATGTTCATTTTAGCAAGCCCATACATCCCCAAATGTTTTGATGTGATTATAATCAGGGGAAGCTACAGATTGGACCAAAGGAAGAAAGTCGTTCTTCTTTGGATTTCTGCAAGGTTGCCCTTTGAAAACCCTGTGGCAGTATCTCCACATAGCCAGTAACTATGCGGAAAAGTCACTCAAAAAAATCAACCGTTACATTGAAGGAAAATGTTCTCCAGATCATGACTGAGCCCCCTGTGCTGAGAAGAAAAACGTCTCCACTGAGATCTTCTCATCATGCTGGCAAACATAGAGGACATAGAAACCATCTAGATTACATTTAGACTTTGTGGAGAATATAACTTTCTTCTACTCTCTCATGATTGGTGCTCCCTTTTGTTGGTTTGTGGTGTGGAAAGGGACGTTACCTATGAGGAGTTTTTTTTTTTATCTCTTAGATGCGATCTTATGGTTACCGAACCACATTTTGAAAGGCTTTCATTTGTGTTCGGGATCCGTTCATCCATTTTTGGTATCCAACAAATGACTTTGTTGTCTCATAATCCAACGAATATTTTAGGATAATAAGGGTTGCAGCCAGTCTCAGCAGTGATAGCAGATTGCAAGGGCAAAGAGCCTTTTTCACCTTCGGCCTCAAGGATCATCAACGTAGGAATGGCTTTTAGAAGGTTTCTTTAGGCCAGATTTAAGGAAGGTCATCTGAGTTTAGAAGCGGTTTCCAGTGATTTGATGACTTTAACATGGTGTCTCTTGCTCCTGTTTCTTAGACCCTGTACTTCAGTGTATCACCTACTAGCACTAACTACAAAAACCTAATCTGGTAGATTTGAAAAGGAGTGTATGAATTATGCTTCTGTGTTACCATTTTTTCTTTCAAAAGGTCGCTATAAATGAAGCATACAAAGCTGATCTGATTGGGAAGAACGCCTGTGGCTCTGGGTATGACTTTGATGTGTTTGTTATGCGTGGGGCCGGAGCTTACATCTGCGGAGAGGAGACGGCGCTCATTGAATCTCTTGAGGGCAAGCAAGGGAAACCTCGTCTCAAACCCCCTTTCCCTGCAGATATAGGTGAGGTAAATGCTCCACAGCCTCCAATCGATTTCATTTATTCATTTACGGTTGAAGAAACAGCAAATAACAAGAAATTATAAACCAATGCTATCACGATTCTCTCTTGTATGTGTTGAAGGAGTCTTTGGGTGCCCAACGACAGTGGCCAACGTGGAGACAGTTGCTGTGGCACCGGCAATCTGTCGTCGTGGTGGTGCTTGGTTTGCCAGCTTTGGGAGGGAGCGGAACTCTGGGACAAAGCTGTTCAACATCTCTGGTCACGTGAACTTCCCATGCACAGTGGAGGAAGAAATGTCTATTCCTCTGAGAGAGCTCATAGAGAGACATGCAGGTCTTTTTTTGCACATTCCAGATATGTCTGCTTCACTAAACTTCCAAATGACTTTGTGCTTGTGTACATTTGCTGCAGGAGGAGTAAGAGGAGGTTGGGACAATCTATTAGGAGTAATCCCAGGAGGTTCATCTACTCCCATCATCCCTCAGCATGTATGTAACGAGGTTTTGATGGATTTTGATGACCTGGTCCGCGTGCAGATGGCTCTGGGAACTGCTGCAGTTATAGTCATGGATAAATCAGTAAGCAAAACAATGTTCTGAAAACACTTTCAGTGCTGAGAGACAGTCTGATAAGACTATTTTGTTCCTTCCTGCAGACTGATGTGATTCGAGCTATTGCACGTTTGGTTGAGTTTTATAAGCATGAGAGCTGTGGCCAGTGCACCCCCTGCAGGGAAGGTAAAGCACTGAAAATTGATCCTTATTTTTCTTTTGCAAGGGTATAGACTAGTTTTTAAAACTAAGGAAAATTGCCTTAGAATAACTTTGCAATGCTATCAAAACTTAGACAATTTCAAATATTCCTAAAATAGAAAGCTGTAACAATTTGTATTTTATTTATCAAGCTGGTTCAACTTTAAACCTTATAGTTCATAAGAAAAACAGCTAGGCAGTGACTTTTACTCCACAGCAGACTTTTGCCCACCCACCCAGCTGATAATACAACATAAAGATTATGCATGAAGACGAATAATTGATATCCTGTTTAAATGTCCTTTTTAAAACATTCAAAATATAAAAGATTTTCAAAAATCTGACTGCTTTATTACAACATTGTGTATTTAGTTATTTCTAGATAAGAATGAAAACCAATAAAATTGCTTAAAAAAAACAAACGCACACCTTTACTTAAATACAAATAAACTTTTGCAATTAGATTAAATGAAATAGCTACTTTTGTGAGCTGAAGGGAAATTTAGAAAAGCTTTTACGCAGTGACCACCTGTAGCCATATAGGCCCACTGACTGATTAGAAAAGTGTAGACACCTGTGACGTTAATTAGTGGACACACCTTGATTTAACCCTTTATAGGGCAAGTTACCATTTTTGATCACTTGCATTTCCTTAGAAATGGAGTCCCCCACTTTAGTTAAATTTCTTAATATATTTGGGCAAGTTGGAGTTTGTTGTTGTTACATTGACATTCATTTTTGCCTTTAAAATATCCATATTATTTATGTTACAAAGGTAATAAGGTAATGATCTAAACATTTGTGAAAATGTCTTAAAATAAGTGTATTTATCCTTAATTTGAGTAGGTAAATAAGAAAATCTCCCAGTGGAAGGAGCATTTTTATCCATAAAATCAGATTATTTGATATTATACACTTGAAATAGGAGACTGTATTTTTTCCTTATTTTAAATGTGAATTTTCTCATCCCATTTGCAAAGTGTCTCACTTACCTGCTCAATTCAAGAAAAAAAATGCACTTATTTTAAGAAAAATTGAAGTACTTAGATTTCAAGTTAGATATTTAAAGTCTTTTTAACTGAGTGCCCTATAAAGGGTTAACACGTCCCTTTGATTACAATAGTTTCAGTCTTTTCTAGGGCCTTTCGGATGTTTTTGTCCAGGCCTGCTTAGATTTATTAATTTTGTTAGATTTATTTATTTTCACAAATAGAAGCTCAGAATACATCAATAAGATAAGAAATGTGATGGAGTGTGACAGAAACCCCTTAGATATTATACCAAAGGCTACATCCCTAAAACAACGAACCATCAGGCAGCTCATATTATGAAAAACATTTCAGTAGAGACAGAAAACAGAAAAGACATGTACAGTGTAAAATTATTTTTACATGTTAGCTTTCAGATTTCAGGGTGTCAATATCTGTATCATACATCACTAAAAGTATTTTTTTCAAATGCCATACATCTCTAAAGATTACATATATTTTCCATATCCATTATATCATTTTGCACCATGATGCCAAAAAAGAAGGTTGAGAGTTTTAGTACTTAATGATAAATAAAAAGGACGTCGGCAGTTTTTTACAAAATAATTCTCGAAACTATCAAGAAACTGACCTTGTTCTATCATAAAAACAAAGTTGCATATTTGATAAATATTAATTTCATAAATATTCAACAGCTGTCATTTGGAGAAAAGGGGAACATTAGCTGAATCAACTTTGGAAAACGTTGCCAAGCGAACAAAAGCTTTTTTGTTGAAGTGGGAGTTTTTTAAGATAACTAAGAAATGTACTTCCCCAAACAACAGGGTATGGATAATGAATAATGTAAAGTTAACCTCACTTTAATGTTAACCAAATTTGTAATCCTTCTCAAAATAGATAGAAAGAGATTTAAGGACTTTTTTGCAGTCTGTACTGGTTTGTTCTCTCCAGTTTTTTCTCACAACTCTAGATATTTATGGAAAATATTTATCAAAACAAGAATTACACAGTTTTACCAACACTTTACAGGGAGAATTTGGTTCATTTTCATAATAAACTACCTATAAAGAAACTTCTTGATTCATTTTTTGGAATTTGATCTTATTTGATTGACACAAATTTCTATAGTATTATTGAGTTTTAACTCGTCTTCTCCTTTTTATTAAATTTTGTAAAATGAAAAACTGGTAAATGATCAGTTATGTCTGTTAATAATAGTCCAGATGTTGTATTATATTCCAAAGTGTTTAAACAGCATATTGTCGATCAGTGTTGCTGATCGACTTTGCTCTGTTAGCTAAAGGCATGTCTTAGTCTCTGTACTCCAGTTAACGATTAATCGATTACTAAATTAGCTGACCACTGTTTCAATAATCAATTCATCTGAATAAGTGTGTCAGCCCTAATTTTTTTGCTTGGTTTTTTTGGACGGGGTGTTATAAGCTTATCAAATCTCAGATAAGCTATATCCCCTCACTGTCTGGCTTCTTTCATGGCAGGAATATATTTTTTGCGCTTTTGTCTTACAGTCTCAGAGTAATCCTCAAGATGTTTGATCCTTTGAGGTATCTTGCCTTCTCCAAAACAGTGTTTCTGTCTTTGAAACACACAAACCTCACCACAATTGGTCTAGGTGTTTAATCTCTGGCAGGTAGCTTTCCAGAGTGATGGAGATGCTCTCGCTCAATGTGTTTTTGACTCAGGATCTTATTAATTTTAACCTCTGAATCACTCCATTTTCATATACAGACTGAGGGATTCCTTCAAAAACCAGGTTTTTATGCAGAGACAATTTTTCCACTTAGTCAACTTTCACATTCATAGTGTTCAGCTTTGAATTGAGCATGTTGACATCATTGAACAACAAAAAACAATTTTGGGGCAACTTTTCTGCATCTTTGTGAATCCATTTAGTCTTTTATTGAATGAGCATTTGCACAAAACTGTTTTAACAACTCCATATAAACAGACTTCTGCTGCTACAGTAGATAACATACTGGAGCAGCAGTGATGCAGTCCTCCTCATTTTTCATCTTTGGAGGCATTTTGCTGTCCACATGTAAATAGTAATCCAAATCCAATGCACAAGGGAGGTGTTGCATCACCTGGTGTTAGGCCCAGTGCTTACATGTCCAAATCTCCAAAAATATGATGAGAAATTTCAAAATAAATTGATATCCTCACTCAGTAGGAGTTCGGATGAGGGATTATGTTGATTCAGTATGGATTGTAACATGAACTTCCTCCTGCCTCTTTGAATGGTAGCTAACACTCCAGCAAAGCAACTTCCTGTTAGTTTGTTTTTTTTTGTTTACACCATTTCATGAAGTCAACATAGAAAAAAAATACATGGAGCTTGTTGTTTATAAATGACAAACTGTGCTAAAGCATGATGAGTGTGAATACTACCAGTATTGAGGATCTCTTGATATTTTTTTTTTTTTTTAAACAACTACAAATAACAAAAAAACAAATCAAATTTTTTAAAATCCTTCCACTGAAGCAGGGTTGACACGCAATGTCTGACTTTCATTTCATTTTTATAGATCATAGGATAAATTACATTGATTATATATAGGTTTTTATTTCATTAAATGAGGGGTACCAACAATTTTGTTCACGTGTATATTATTGAGAGCTTATATTATGGATATACTTATCGATAGAATATAGAATATGCATATGGTTCGTTTTTCTGAAAAAAAAAAAAAAAAAAAAGATCTGTACTAATGAAAAATATTTTAAGAAATACAGATCAGGGATGGATTCATGATGATTCAGTAAAAACTGACTCCTGATCCGATAGCTGGAGCATAAATACATCATTTGATATCAGAGATCTAATTCACTTTACATGGAACTGCTAATTCTTTCTTTTTGCTGAAAATTTGTAAATAAATATAACATACATTATTGTCCCTGTTCATTTGTTACCCTTTTTAACAAGTTCAAAGGTGAAGCTTTAAGTCTTCACTCACATGGCAAGATAGGTTAAATGTTAAAATAATTAATTCAACAGTCGAATCAGATCGGATGCGCTCAGCCCAGGTATCGGACTGGAAAAAACTGGGAATGAAGGTCATCAAAACTAAAGAATTCCTCTGAAAAGTGTCACCAAGAGGTGTAGCTACCCTTTGACACTGTGGGATTTGATATGAGTTTTTGTCACCCCAGGTTCACAGATTGGGCTGCTGTAAAAGTATATGTACATGTATAAGTACATGTACCTGTATGATAGGACCACTAAATGTTTCTATTTAAAATCTCCCTCATGACAACTGACCTCTCCTGATTGCTGGTTTGCAAGTGTCTGATAATACAGTGATGCAATAAAAACGGAAACCCTCCAGTGTCTGTAAACATGCCAGCTCTGAAAATGACATCTACATGTCCATAGCCTATAAAGGAATTATATTTCACCCGACTGGACTATTCCCCCTGATTCATATGGCAGAAACTGCAGGCATTTAAGCATTGAAATAAGGAACGGTCAACGTTCAGAAGTTTAAACAAACGGTCATAATGGGGAAAAAGAAAATAGGCATTAGGTGAAGCATACTAATGATTGCTGGTGCTAAATGGGCTGCTCTAAATAGATCACCTGCAGGTTTCAGCCACAATGTCTATCGGGTTTAAAAAGAATGATTTTGAAAAAAGTAAAACATCTCACAAATGGCTGTTGGGGTTGATAAGAGTGCCCTTTTGAACACAGAGGATGATGGAGAGATATAAACAGCAGTTTAAATAGCAGCAGACCAAACCAGGTCCCACTCTTACTGCCTAAAATCAGGAAACTAAGGCTACAATCTAGCTTCACCAAAAAGACAACTGATGAAAACACTTCTCCCTGGTTAAACAAGTCTCCATTTCCACATCATTAAGATGGTCATGGTCAGAATCTGGGTAAGCATGCATCCTCCTGCCCTGTATCCATGATTAAGGCTGATGATAATGGTGTAATGGTGTGGGGTATATGTTCTCTACACAGGATTCTTTCAATCCTCCCAGAATAATCTTCCTAATCGGGATTTTACTTTATTACAACAATGGCTAATTCCAAAAGGACAGCACACAATGTTAGGAACTAAAATCATTCAAAGTTGGTACTGGAGGGTGTACATAACAAATCAAGTAATTAACTAGATTAATAACGGTAATTTCTGTAGATCAGAAGATTACATAACGGATATACGATGACTCATTTTGGAGTTTCATCACTGATGTGTGGCCTCTTAAGAAAGATTTGATGAGGCAGAACTATGCAATACATGTTGACTTGGTTTCTGTATGCTTAACTTTTTTTTCCCCCTCAGGAGTGGACTGGATGGATAAAATGATGTGGAGGTTTGTGCGAGGAGATGCAGCCCTTTCAGAAATCGACATGATCTGGGAGCTCAGTAAACAGATTGAGGGCCACACTATTTGCGCTCTGGGGGACGGAGCGGCTTGGCCTGTTCAGGTAACACCATTAAATGCTAACAATAAACAAGGTAATTCATCATGGCACAATTTTTTAGATTTATTATCTCCCAAACATCTTTAGGGTCTTATACGTCACTTCCGGTCGGACATGGAGAGCCGCATTGCTCAGTATGAAAAGAAAAATCTTCCAAGGAAGCAGGACATCACGATGATCTGAACAGGAAAAGTTCCTTCATTTCATTTCCTACAAAAATAAACCTCATTTAGCTAAACTATAGTAAGAATTAAAATTTTGGCAGATATTTAGAAGTTAAAGCATAGCAAAACTACTGAATTCAGCCATTGCCTGCAGAATGGACAAACAGAATTTATTCTGTTGTACTAAATCATTAAATCTTTGTAATATTTGAATAACTCATTTGTAACCATCTTAAATATGTACAATGAGGTCCATACAGATCAAATAAAAACAGACTCAATCACCCCAATAAATTAGGTTTATTAAAAGGATGAAATTTAGTAGATGAACCACATGAAATTCCTGTATGACCTGTACAAAAGAGTAATTAGGACAGAAAACTGACAAACAGGGGGAGACAGAAAAAGGGCCAAACAGTAGGAAAGAACTAAAATAAAATGGCCGTTGATGTATAACATCAACATGATATTCTAATAGATTTAGATCATTTTTAAATCTGTTGTAAAGTGTGGTGCAGACCACCACTGATTGGACCTACAGATCAATAAAGAAAAGAAAGAAAGCCGTGCAAGTGTTCACTTCCAAACTATAATGTATACAAAACATTTTGTACATCTACTTGGATCTGAGTTCATTGTTCAAACAGAGGCACAGCTGTGAAGAAGCTGTCCTCCACATGATCCAAGTGGAAGGGAAAAAATGAGGTCCTGTAGGATTTAAGAGAACTTAGAAACGTTTCCTTTTCATGGTGCCATCCAGAAAGGAATGGATTGTTGCTGTGGTTGGTTTTTGGCACGAGTTTGCTGTGGCGGGGGGCAGCGATAGCTCTGAGCCCAGGTTGTAGCAGCAGAAGTGGGTGGACGGTTACCTAGCCATGAGGCTTTGGAAGAAGGGTGCTCTTCCTCTTCATCAGAAGAGTCGCCGGTGTAAGCTACCAAACCAGTTCTGAGTCGTTTCACTGAAGGCTCTGTAAGAAGGAGGAGAGCAGCGAGAAAAGACACAAGCAGCACGTTTGGAGCAGAGGGGGAGAAAAAAAACAACACAGAGCAACAACAACAGATTTAAAATGTGACAAGTTAATCATTTCAAACACATTTTTTGGAGAAACAACAGAGAAGTTAATGTTTATGTCAGCAGGGAAGAGGAGGGGGGCCCCCATCCATTGGAGTGGCGGGGCGGCATTGCAGGTCAAGGCGTGCCCCACCCCCAATCAGTGTCCAGCATCACCACAGAGACACATGGAAGAGAAGAAAAACACAGAGAAAAAGAAAAGAGCACAAAAACAGGAGAGACTCTTGTTAGCAAGGACGGAAACAAAACAGTCCAGACTGATGATGTCATCACAACGCAACAATACTGTGGGCTGGATTTTGAACAAACGACTGGGGCATGCCAAAAAGCAGAGGTGCACAGAGAAACTGACTGCTCGTTGATAAGTATATTCCATTAGCAGCATCAAACCTCATAACCTCTCTGTACACTCAACTTTATTTAAAAGCTCTGTCTGTATTGCTGCTTTTATGGTAAGAAAAGCCTTTATTTTGAAGGGTTACAGAAAGCCAAATCAAAAACAGATTAGAGCAATCTCTAAAGAATACATCAAACAAAGCTTAAATATGTTGCCATAAACTATTAACTTTGTTGAAAAGTATATCATGATCAGAATTTAATGTTTTTTTTTTATCTAAAGTTCTCTATTAATGCTATAATGTAACAGAATCAATGTTTGTATACATTAATTAAAAAAAATAGAAAATTTATTTCTTTTATCAAACTTTAAAGGGTTAATTTAGAATAAAATGTTTATCTTTTTTCTCAGTTTCTCATTTTTACGGAGTCAGTAAGACTCAAAGTTAAGCGATTCAAACTATGAGGGAGGCATTTAAAAACGTCAGAGGAAGCACCCAGCTGTAGGGTGTTATTTCCTATCATCTTTGTTATTTAGGTTGAACGACAGGTTTAAGCCAATAACAGGAGGGCTGGACGTATAACAGCAAAGTATTTCTGTTCCAAAACATTTCAACTTGTGTCTCCAAAAATAACAACACATTGCAAAAAATTATAACCAAGTACATTTTTCTTGAATTTAGCAGATAAGGCAGACACTTTGCCAATTAAATAAGACAATTCACATTTAAAACAAGAAAAAAAAACTTAACTGTCTTATTTCAAGTGTATATCTTATCTTATTTTAATACCAGTCCTATTGGTAAATCGTCTTATTTACCTGCTCAGCTTAAGGACAAACTCACTTGTTTAAGAATTTTTTGAATTTATTTTTAGATCCTTTTTGCAGTCAGCAAATTACAAATACACATAATTGATTTTATTTCTATTTATTTCTATTTATTACACCTATAAAGCAGAGTACATGTATTCATTTTTTTTCCAAAAATGCATTAAATTACATTTGATTTCTAATTCTACATTTTAAATGTTTGTCTTATAGCACAATTTAACTATGTTAGCATTTTACAATTGGATGCTATATTTAATGTTTAAATAATTTCTTTAGATTATTAAATATATTGGACCTCCTCATCACACTTGGTTTCCTGTGACCCACCAGTGGGTCACAAGAAACTCTCACTTTGAGAATCCCCGCTATAGAAATACAGAGAGTGATGTTTACAGTTATAATGCTGACCTTGGAAATCGCTAGTGATGCTAAATACATTTTAAAAAGCTCATTTTAGTTTTAACATGGTTGTAAATCCCTGTGTATGAATCAATAATCCGCCCAGGCAACGAGACTAAAAGAAAACATACTTGACAATATCTTCTTTCATTGTAATTTCTGACTAAAATTCCCAAACAGCTCAAAATCAGTATCACTGGTTCAGCCATAGGTTAGAAATAAAGTTCTGATTTGTACATCCTCTGGCATGTCAAGCAGCAGCTTTTTTCTACATATCTGGAACTTTTTGTTTAATGCATTCGCTTACTTATTTTAACCCATCTACTCAACAATCTCTAATAAAACCACAGAAATCTAGACACTAAAGTTTAGAGAAAGCCGCAGCGCGCCCCTGATACCTCTAAAAGAAAGAGAATAAATCAGTTTACAGTCCCCAGTCCTGGTTTGGGGCAGAGGTTTTTCAATCCACAGGATGACATCCTTACCCACGAAGGCTTGCTGTATTCTCCTCCCGTCCATCTGGTGTCTGACTCCGTTCACGCCCAGCGATGTTGGTGGAGGCATTAGGTGCCTACTAAAAACACAAACAGCTGGTGTCAATTATATTCCCTGTTTGACTAGGAGACATGCTCAGATCTAACTAATACAGCAGGTCTACCTGTCCCTCTCACTCGCCGGGCCAGAGGAACTCTGCTGTGCGGCTCCTGAAGTCTCTGTGCTGCCCACTGAGAAGCCTGCACCTAAATTAGTCATATGAATGGGTCCATGCTATGAGCAGAAAAACACACAGCCACGATTAGCACACATCCTCCTCTAAGCTCTGTCTCACATTATTCCAACCATCAGGAGATTTCCCAGAGCCTGCTTACGTTATTCCTAAGCACACTTATACCTTTCTTTGATAATCCATATAAGCAGAAACTGAGGAATAACCTGTATATAAGGAACGCAGCATCCCATACCATTTTAATCAAGCTACATTAAAACAGAGAAAAGAAGGAATAATTGAAATGTTAACTTGAAGTCTTTCCACAGTGAATAAACAAGGCGTTTAGAAGGAGTCTAAATATGACCGGCTGGTGGAAGGGGCTCTGTTGTAACAGGACTGCAGAGAGGAGCAAAGTAGAGAGCTGTTAATACTGATGAAATATAGTCAAATATTTTAATACCTGGTACCCAAGCAGGCCGCTATCCCTCTCGTCTGGTACCTCCTCTGTGAATCGTCTCTTCTGAGGCGGGTTGGACGGGGCGGCCTGAGGCGGAAGTTTTTGAGGCGTTGATGTGGAATGTAGAGGAGGAAGGGTCTGCAGAGAGAGAGAAAACAACTGTTTATTGGCTCACTTCATCTACAATCTTTAATTGTTATCCTGTACTTAAGGTTGGTTACTCTCAAGCTGGAAAAGGTTCAGTTTAGACAACTGGATGTGAAGTTTTCCATCATCCAAGAGGCTTCTTCAGTTCTAAGTGGTGGTAGGGAGCACCTAGATTAATATACTTTAGGTGCAACAAAGAATTAGAGGGGACAAAAGGTGGCTCTGATCCCTCTTTCTGGATTGGCCATGTAGGTCACATGGGGGGTGTCCATGGCGGTCTAGTGGTTAGTGCATAGAGCTTGGAATCCTGAGGTTCTGAGTTTGAGCCCCTCTCTCACGGACTGCCACTCTGGGTCCCTGAGCAGGAGACCCTAAACCCCACACTGCTCCCCGGATGCTGCACAATGGCAGCCCACTGCTCCCCAAGGGGATTGGTTAAATGCAGAGAGTTCATTTTGTTTCTCTGTACTTGTGACAGAGTACAATAAAAGCTGGAAAAAGGTCAATAGCGGGGTTCTGATGGGTATTCAACTCCTTCGTCACAGTGGTTTTGGTTACATGCCTCATTGCAGTGTGCGTCAGGTGAATGTGGGTGGGAGCTGAGTATTCTGGGTAATGTTCCTCAAAGTACTCTGTTAGTAGGTGAAAGGTTATGTCTAAGATCACCTCCTCTGTTGAGAGATGTTTTTTTTCCAGGTTAACAAAGATGGCTTCCTTAACCCCTCGCTCAAACCATCTTCCTTTGCAAGAATATGGACGTTGTTGTCCTCAAACGAGTTTCCTTTAGCCTTCAGGTGTAGAACTGAGGAAGCCTCTTGGATGAGAGGTGAAATGTCTTTCAGAAAATTTCACATCCAGTTGCCTAAACTGAACTTTTCCAAGCTTGACCATGACCTGGGGACTGAGAATCTTCACAGATACGTTATTCTCAAGGTCTACCTTGTAGTAGACAGCAAAAGTCATGATCACATCAATTATTGCAATATCAGAGTACCACCACCATATTGGACTATAGCCGTTATGGTCTGTTTCTGACATGCTGGGTTAGTTTTAGGTCACATGACCCCACCCCTTCCAAAAGTGGGACATTTGTGTTATGACCTCCTGGTTGACTTGTTGATGTACAACAATGATATGATAACCAGCCTCTGTTTCCTCAAGTTACAGATTCATATTCTCTCTTTTTCCCCCCGATGTC